ATATATATATATGTATATATATATATATTTTTTTTATTTTAATTGATCTCATTTTGCATTTATTTAATAATTACATTTAACTTATACGTCTGAATTATTAATGTATAATTTGACATTTATAAGCGAATCCGATATTCATAGGTTTTTTTCTTTTAAAGAAAGTATAGGTATAACTCTTGGAATAAATAAAATGTACTGCAATCGAAGTAATAATATAAAGAATTAATAAACATTATCTTTTATCACGCAAAACAAAAAGAGTTACACTTTTTAAAACATTTTATCTACACCTTAATTATTGTGTGTATACATATCAGTATATAGTATATATATATGTACATATATATATATATATATATATATATATATATACATATATATACATATGTATATATACACACATGTTTAAGTTTTTCTTGTGTTTTTTTATTTCAAGGTTTAATAAAATTAATTTAGAGATATCTATATTAAAATAAGAAAAAAATCAGTGATAAGTCTTTGAATCAAACTCTATTATGTATATATATATATATATGGACTTTGATGCAATGTAAAATATACATACAATTAGTTATACTTTTTTTCAAATTTTTTTGTCTTCTCTATATATATATATATCCCTCAAAATTTTACGCCACCAACGTTGGATAATCCTTGCGGAGCGTACTTGTTGAAACATAGCTAAAGATTTGTCGAAATGTGTTATTCCAATTTTCTCTTTTTGTTTAATAAAAACAAGATATGTTTCTTCTTGTCGTTTCATCTTTTTCTGCAATAAAATTAAATCGCCACAATACTTTTTTTCTGCACGTTTTGTGTGTGTGTGTGTGTGTATGTGTGTGTGTGTGTGTAAAATACATGAATTATGTAAAAAGTTACCTCCAAGTCCTGTTTCTTTAGCTTGTCATATTTGTATATTTGATCCAGTTTTTCCAATGTCCTACATCTACTACCAATTTCTGTATCGTATTTAGTCATTATTGCTAAGAACTTCGATTCAGTCATCAATCTATACGCAACACAATTACAAATTACTCAAATATATAATAAACAAATATATTGATTGAAATTTTATGAGCACGTATACTTTTGCTTTCGAATAGTTTGATCCAACTTCGTATTTATATCTTTTAAGGATTCGAGATCATCGATAACGTTTTTCAATGTCAACTGCATTTCATTTTGCTCGTATTCCCACGCTTTATATATAGCAATTTGTTTCTTCTCGTGTTTCAAGCTATCAAAATAAAACGCAAAGACAAATATATACATAATATATAAACAGGATGTCTCATTTTAAATACCGTCAATTTTCAAAATTTTTGACAATACAAAAAAAATGTTTTAGATGAAAGTAGAACAGTTTCGAGAGAGACGAATTTTAGTCAAGTTGCTTTTTCTCTATGTGGAGGACGCCAAAAGGTATGAAAGTTACCTCCGCTTCTTTAAGTGGAATTATATAATTTTTTTTACATAATATATATGATTCCTCTAATTATTCTATACATATAAAAGTATTAAAGTAATAGTTTTATCAAAAGATCAAGATATACATAAAAAGTTGGTAAAATATACAAATATGACAAACTAGAGAAACACGACTTGGAGATGACTTTTTACATAATTTATGTATTTTACACACACACACACACACACACACGCGCGCGCGCGCGCGCGCGCGTATATATATATGTATATA